AGGGTCAGGTTTGGAGTAAGTACAAAGTTTGTTGATAACTTTGGCCGGCCACGGTTGAACTTTGTGGTTGATGCATCTCCAAGTTTGTGTAGAGTTCTGGATCAATGTGACAAAATTGCACAAAAATTTTCAGTGGAATCTGGAAGCAAATCTGAGTGGAGGCATGTTGTGATCAAGTTCGGAAAGTACAACTACCCTACCATAAGAGTACAGTAAGTTTAAATCCTTTGTTTTTCTTATTTTGATTCCTTATGCAAGATAATGAATGGTTTTTTAAGCTTTGGAAATGCAATGAAATTACTGAATTTCAGTGCAAGGGAGTGGAGTTTGTTTTCCTCATTAAACTAAATTCTTTAGGAGCTCAGGATACCCTGGGTAAATGCAAGTCTTAATAAATGGGAAGGGAAACAAAAATCATTTCACTGAAGTTCTCGTTTTACAACAATATTTCATGGTTTTTTTTCTTTTTTTTGTTGTATTTTGTTTGTTAGGACTAATAGTAACTTCAAGTCATGTCAAAGGGTTTGGTTTGTGGAAAGGAAGTATTAAGTTTGAAATGTTATAGTTTGCATCTATTTACCAATATGGTGTATTAAATTTTCACGTATAAGAAATGCACCACCTGATTCCTTGAAATTTTTTGGCCCTTTCCCAGCATGCCCATAATGTTCAATGGGGGTATTGAGCAAATCATGACAGAGCTATGTCAGAGAGATTGTTCTGGGTCGACTCAAAAGGTTGTCTTCATTGGACTTGAAACGGCAGAGCTGATTAACTTGATCAGGCCAGGGACATTGGTGGATGCATTCTTCTCCTTTGGTTCATATGACTATCAGGGGAGTGCAGGCATCCGCTTGGTGGCTAAGAAATTGATTATCTATTCTGAGGAATGAAGGTGAAATGCTCTCTGAAATCCATTTCAGAATCTTGCCTTAAATCTTTTTCCCAGCTTGTTTGGTTTGAAGGGAAGTGAAGGGAGAGAGATAAATTTTCCTATTTGAATAACAACAATTTGAGAAAAGTAAAGAAAATGGAAATTAAAAAGAAGTTCCTATACTCCCATACATTCCTCTCAAACCGTTTATTTCTGATTAAACAGGTCAAAGTTTCTCCTCCTTTTTTTTTTTTTTTTTTTTTCTTTTCCCTCCCCATCCATTTGTCAAGTGTCAACCTTGCTGGTTATCAATCGCTTGGTAGTTTATGGATCCCTTCATCCCTACCGCTTTCTGTTTCTTTCTTCATTGAGTTTGAAATCTTAATCATGGTTAACTTTTGATAAACAACTTGGGTTTAGAGTAATCAAGAACCTATCTTCCAAGGAAGGTTCTACATGTTGCACTATTGTTTATCACTACTTTCTCAGCTAGCGTACTTAAAAGATTAGATGTCAGTTTCAACTAGGTAATTTCACTCCATTTTATTTATACCAAGAAAAAGGAAGTTTGAGAATGTCTATGCATAATTAATTTCCTTAAAATTATCATACAAATATGGGGTTGCACTCCTAAGATTCTTTGCAAGGAAGAATCTAATTCCTAATTAATTTATTTATAAGAAAAAAATGACAGCGAAGGCAAAGAATCCAAAATTCTACACTTTTTCTTTATTAAACTTGTTTTATAGTTTAAATCATATTAAATTGTAAAATAAGAAACATTAAATGAGGAAGGTCTCTAATATCAAGGAGTTCAATCCCCATCCAATAGCATCTTTTGGTTAATGTTGTGCAATCTTTAGAGTTTGAACTATGCAACTAGGGCTATAAACAAGTTGAGTGGAGTTGAGTGTCTAAGTATTCATATTCAAGCTCGACTTAAAAATTCAAACTCAAGTTGAGCTCAAATATTTGTTAAGCTAATAATAGTTGAACTTATGCTCAAGCTCCTAAGTATTTGAGTGGATTTGAATTTGAATTTGCTTACGAGCTTAAGTCAACGAGTATTTTAATTTGAATTTGAGTTTCTTGTATAATTTCAAAATATTTTAATAACTAATTATTTAACAATAAAATTTTTACATTTTTAAAAAATATTATAGTACTAATAGTTTTAACATATTAGGTCAACAATAAAAAAAACCCATAAATTCCATTTAAATATTTTTATTACAAAAAATTGTTTTGTAGGTCGTCATTCCAAAATTTTTTTGGGAAACATATTTAAAAACTCATATTCTATTTGATATTTTGAAAAACTAACTATTAGATTAAAAGATTTATTTATATGAATCATTCATATTAATTTTGAAATTGTTCTAATAAGTTTAATCACTTCATAGATTACACAAAATTTAATATCATTAAATATATATCAATAAATAAAGTTTTAATCAAAGAGTTATACTCCCTCTTATCATTTTTAGTGGCCTTAATTTGACCTTTTGAAAATTTTTGGTTAAAATATCATTTTGGTCTCTCAACTTTTTACTTTGGCACAAAATTGTCCCTCAACTTCAAAAAGTATTAAAATTATTCATGAACTTTCATTTTCGATACCAAAATGATTATTTCGTCAGTTAAATGGACAGGTTGCACGTTAAAATGCGAGAAAATCATTGGATTTTTTGAATCTTAATGACATGTAAATCCAATGAAGAAAATTTTGCCACCTTAGCATTTTTTACGCTTTAGATTGCTTCCCCATTTTCGACTTCCCCTTTTAGTGGAGCCCACACGAAAATTCATTTTCTCTTTTTTCATTTTCAGTCGAGTTTCCCAAAAATGGCAATGTTCTTTGTTTCTCTTTCCATTCCCATTTCAGATTTCAAACTCTAAACTTGTTACTTTTGCAACATCACAATCGAATTAGGCTTTATATCACGATTGAATTTGTTGATAGATTCATTCAATGGATGAGGAACCTTCGATTTTGCTCCAAACACATCACTTCCACCATACAAATTAGACTGATTGTTCCAACCATCCAATGAAAAAAGAGAGAAAAAATAAGAGTTGGACGGAGATGGAGGAGAGGGAGGGACAGAGGAGCTAGAGAAAGGGACGAAGATGGAAGAACAGGAACCAAAAGAATGTTTCAATTTTTTTTTCTTGTCTAATTTGTTTAAATTTAGTTTATTGTAATTAGATTTGCTTTAATAAGATGAAATGAAAGTTAATTGATTCTTGTTCCGCACACATGGGCAGAGTGGATTTTCGCTTGGCTTTAGTGGGTACGTACTCCAAATTGAAGTTGAGTCTCGTGAAAT